GAAAACTCTGGGCTGACAGTAGAGTTTACAGTGAAGATTCACTTGAAAATGCAATACCTGCTTATGCCCCTCTTTCTCTGTTCCATTGGAAAATTTCAAGCTCTTTTTACTGATGGAACTGGGGAAGCAGGAGTGGAAGTCAGAACAGAAAGCAAGCTGGACTCTGCATTCCAGCTTGCCTGTAGGCTGTTAAAATGGCCCAAAACTGTCTCTGTTGGTTCTAAATCTCATTTTCCAATAAAAGGAACAAAAATTTCATATTTATAAATATTTATCTGCCGTCATTTACAGCATGTTTTGTAAGATAATGCTGCTATAGTAATTTTAACTCTCAGGTGTTCAGTGTCAGCACGTTCATATTTGTGCTGTTTACTGTAGTGCTGAAGCAAAGCAAAGGTGAGGATCTCAAAAGGGTTGGCAAATGGATTATTCAAAAGCACATGAAACAGGCGATACAAAATCATACCTGCAAATGAAGCAAAGAGTGAAACAAGGCTAAAAGGTGTGGAAGGGATTTTTCTTTCATCAGCCCTTCAGGTTTGACCCTTTAACTGCAAAACCACAACTGCCTGATCTCCATGGCAATTCTTCCTTTCTCTCTTGGGACTGTGGGGAACGTTGTTCTTCCTCCCAGCCCGTCGCAGTGTGTGGTAGGTGGTCTGTGCGTGCAGCCTTCAGCCTGTGTCAGCTTTTAATGAACTTCTCTGCTGTGCCAGGGGAGGTTGAGAGTCGTACTGGAGGTCAGGTCATGGCTCTTCAAGCTCGGGTGTGTGGGAGATGTTGCTCTTTAGGAATCCCATGTTGGTGACCACCGGTTGGAAATCCAGCCCTTCAGCTCCGTTTGCAAATTTTGTGGAGAAACTGTGTGTCACGTTTGTTCATCGTGATGGGCGTGAATCCCCTCAACGCAGTTCAAATCCACAGAAATCAGTGCAGGAAAGAGGAACAAAAGGTAGAGGTGCATCTTATGTTGGTATAGATAATGTGGTGGTGTCACTGGGCTGGCAGCCAAACAGCTGCTCGCTCAGTCCCCCCGCCCCAGGGGATAGACGGGAGAGAACTGGGGGGCAAGGGTAAGGAGACTCGTAGGATAAGGTAAGAACAGTTTAGTCAGTGAAATAAAATAGAACTTAAAATAATAATTATAATAATAAATAGTGAGAGGTTGTGGAGTCTCCTTCTCTGGAGATGTTCAAAACCTGCCTGGACACTTTCCTGTGTTACCTGCTGTAGGGAACCTGCTTTGGCAGGGGGGTCGGACTAGATGGTCTCCTGAGGTCCCTTCCAACCCCGCCAGTCTGTGATTCTGTAATAAAATATACAAATAAGTGATACACAATGCAACTGCTCACCACCTGCTGAGCAAACTTGGCTTATTCCTAGATGACAGTCCCAAAGGAGTGACAATCCTGAACCAAAACTGCAGTCCCAGAAGAGCAAGAGCCCGAGCGAAAGAGCAGAAGGAGAGCTCCTCATTAACATACTGAATATGACGTGATACAGAACCATAGAATTGTTTGGATGGAAAAGACCTTTGAGATAATTGAGTCCGACCATACCTGTCCACTACTAAACCATATCTCTGAGTGCCCCATCTACCTGACTTTTAAATATGAGATGGAATATCCCATTGGCATATCCAAATGCTAATTTAGGTTATTACTTTAAATATTCCTCGCTCCACCCCCTGCTCCGATCTTGCACTTGTAGACCAGCAAAACACAAAGTCCTTCAACTTCCAGCAACAAAATGAAACATTGACATGTGATCAGCATTTCCCTCATAACAAATCTCAGGCTGGAAACAAACCCCAGCGCTGTTCTACCTACTAAAAAGAAACCCAGCTCTGTCCCAGCTACAAACCAGGACAAATAATCACCCAGAAAAGCTGTTTGAAAAGCAAATTAAAGGTGGATGTGAGATGCAGTCTGACTGAAGTGGAATGCAGCTCGGAAAAGGGACAGGACCTGATGCTGTGTGTGATTCCAGGTATGTGCTGAGGCAGAGAGACTGCTGTGTGTGTCTCCTACAGAGAAACCTGGCGTGCGCTGCAGCAGTTGTGCCAGAGAGGAACAGGGCAGGTGCTTCGTAGGTTCTGCCAGGTGTATTGGCAGGGAAAGGTCACCCTGAATCCATTTTGTGTCGATGGTTTGACTTTGTACATTTGCCCTTTTATTTTTTTTTCTTCCTTGTGAACCATATGATTAGTTTAGCATGATTAGGTGAAATGGTTTGTTCCTCTTAATGAGTAATTAGACTTTTAAAATAGCAATAATTTCTGTTTCCTATTAATACGGCTGGGTTATCTGTGTCTGTTACATCAGGAGGCTTTTGAAGAACAGACAGAAATTTGTGGCTTAAGGAGATGGAATGTGTCAGGTCTGTCAAAATGTTTTCTGGAGAGTTGTGAAAATGGAAACTGTACTTGATGCTCGCAGGTTATTCTTATGTTCCTTTTACAGCAAGGCACACCCATCCTCAGAAACATAACTGGGGCTCTTTCTTTGTGCCTTTAACACAGACAAGAAAAAGGACACACGTTGAAGCTGGGAAGCGAAGCCAAGCTTGGCTTTTGCACTGAGCACTGCTTTTGGATAGACCTACTTTCAACAGCTTCATAGAAAATGGGTTATTTACCAAAAAATCTTTATGCCAAGACAAGGTCTGCAGCAGTAACATAGCGACTGTAGGTACGAAACTTAGTTTTGCTCAGAAAAATGGCAAGCAAAAAAGACATTAATTTGCAAAGGGGACTTGTTAATTCCCAGTCTAATTATGTGTACTAGCCACATGAAAAACTGATTTGTGATGCTAACTTGAGTTGTTCCAACTGAAAATCTTGCTTATTACTGCCACTCTCATAATGACAACAAAGGAGGATTTATGTAGTGAAGCCAATATTTGAAGAAATTTATTAACTGAGACATAGATGCAAGAAAACACACAGAGCATGGCTTGTGGTGAAGTACTGTTTGTGACATTTAGACTATTTTTATTAAAATATTAATTTTTATACTCTGTCATATACCTTGATAATTCTGTCTTCTTGTATTTGAGAAATTGTCTAAGCTTGGACTATGGTAATCTCCATTTGGTGCAAAAAAATTAATAAAAAAACCCTGTGTAACACTGCAATAAATAAATTTATGGCATTTAAAGCTGGAGTACAGGATTGCAGCTGTACCTCCTCCAGTGGGGCTGGGGAGGCCCTGGAGCAGTTTGCAGAACTGTCAGAATTGTCTCCTTTGGATTTGGAGTTTGGTTTGTTGGTTTTTTGAGGGTTTTTTTTGTTCATACTTTGGTTACAGTCAAAGCCATAAACTGTAATTCCTACCTTGCACATAGTGAAATCTTTGGTTCCATTATGGTAAGTGAGCTCTCCTGTAGGGATTTCTTTGGTTTCTGGAGAAAAAACAATGCATCACTAAGGTGATGGCAAGCAAGGGGCAGCTCTAACTGAAGGTATATCATGCCTTACTATTTTTATATATGTGTGTGTGTATGTGTATGAGACCTAAGCTCACCTGTGGAACTGATGAGGATGGATGAGAGCAGGCAGTTTCACATGCCTCAGTTTTTAGCTGAGCAGAGCTTGTGCCTTGACTCTAGAGCAGAAAGTTTGCAGGAGTCTTGCTGTGAGTTGACTGTGGGGCATTTGCTCTGGGAGCCATCCCGGTGGGGCTCACTGGCAAGGAGGAGAACGTTGTATACAAGGAAGGTCATAAGGATGATCATAGAATCATAGAAAGGTTAGGATTGGAAGGGACCTTAAAGATCATCCAGTTCCAATCCCCCTGCCATCAGCAGGGACACCTTCCACTAGACCAGGTTGCTCAAAGCCTCATCCAACCTGGCCTTAAACACTTCCAGGGAGGGGGCATCCACAACTTCCTTGGGCAACCTGTTCCAGTGTCTCACCACCCTCACAGTGAAAAACTTCTTCCTAATATCTAATCTAAACCTCCCCTCTTTCAGTTTAAACCCATTTCCCCTTGTCTTGTCATTAGTTGCCCTTGTGAAAAGTCCCTCCCCAGCTTTCTTGTAGCCCCTTCAGGTGCTCTGCTACATTCTATAGATAATAACTTGCAGGTTCCTCGAAATACATATCCCACTGGTGTTTTCCAGTGTTTTCAAATATTCTGTATGCATTTTCCCCCTACATGATGTTCTTGCTTTCACTAGCTGTGCTGGAAGAAGTTTAATCTTGCTGCCCTTAGATATAAACAGGGTTTTTTAAGTGGCTGCTTCCTTGAGTGTATTGCCAAATTTCCTTCACCGTTATTTACTGTGATTCCGTCACCGTTATTTACTGATATTTGAGTGCCAGCAAAGAAATTTTTCCTCCTGAGCATGAGTGTCTTTTCCCTTAAACTGGACTTTGGCAGGTGTGACTTACTCCAGCGAGTTTAATTGTGGTAATCACCAGCATAAACCTGCCTTGTCTGCAGACCCATCCCGAAGCTTTTACAGGCAGAAGACGTAAAGAGAAAGGATTTTGAAGAATTGTCAATAGCTACATAGTTCTGGGACAGAAGAGTATATGTTCATTTAAGGAAGAAACCATATGGTTTCTCCTGATTTTAATGAAGTAAAATGAAGAGCCTGAGCTGTAAGGGGCTCAGAATATCTCTGGGTTAAGGGTTAGCAGACCATTGCAGAATGCTCAACGTGCCCTGCTTAGATTACAAAAGAGCTGTAAACTCCCGGGTGACTTTGGGCTCAGTTGTGTTTTGGAAGGGTTAACACATCTCATACATATACAAGATCTTCTCTTAATGCCTTTTAACAGTGGCCTCAGCTAGATGAACATCCCCAGAGGGATATTGCCTCTGGCAAGAAGCCCTTGCAAAGGAAACTTTAGCAGGAATTTGAGTCTTAGGGCACAGTAATATGCTGAGTGTTTTATGCTTTGTCCCTCTTGATACTTGTTTTTAAAGCATCAGGCCAGGTCTTTAGGCTCTCGAATGACATACTGATGTGCTTTCTCTCTTTCTCACCAGGCTGGAATGATAAGAACTGATAAGGATGAATACTTCATTGAGCCTTTGGAAAGAGGAAAGCAAATGGAAGAGGAAAAGGGAAGAATCCACATGGTGTACAGGCGCTCGGCTGTAGTGCAGCATTCCACCGATGCGCTCCCTGATGTCCATACAGAAGGTACTGTACCCCGTGTTGGTGTGTGTATCTGTCTAAATATCTATTCCAGGTAACTCTGGCCTACGGTAGTTTTTGAAAGAGGCAGTTTGGACTGAGCTGTTTGAAAATAAAGCGTTTAAATGGTTTGCGGAAATACGCCATCGGTCATGCACGCGGTTTCCCCAGGAAGAGCAGCACACGCGTGCTTTCATCTGGGAGAGCAGAATTAAAGAAATGTTGCAAAATGCTTGTTTTTTCCTTCCTTAAACCAAGGGCAAAGTCTGTACTGATTTAAGTGGAAACAATTCTGAGCTCTACATAAGTTGGTAAGGTATTGTGGGACATGAGATGTTAATAGAAATACTCAAATGACTTAAATGTTCCAAGTTGTTATTAAGGCTTACCTCTCTGTACAACCTCTGTTTAAAGTTTGGGTCCTGTTTCTTTCTGAGTAATAGCTAAATGGTGCCAATAACTGATACTGTTTTCCTCCTTCTACTGGTTGCAGTTAATGCAGTTCGAAGGCAGTTGTCTTGATTGAATATATTTTGACACAGCCAAGGCTTCCCCTCAGCCTTGAAGATAATGTGGTTGGTCCCTCTGAGAATAATTATTGTGTAGTTTAATCCATTTGCTTGTACATTCCCCCCCTTTTAGTATTACACAAATCCATACAAGCCAACGCATTGCATAGCAAACATTGAGGTCTGTGACACTATGGGCTGAGGATGAAAGAGCAGCTCCGTTCCCCTTCAGTGCTCTGACTTTTTTTCAACATCTTTCAGCTTCTCAAATTCCTATTTGTACTTCGTGTTCACATGTTCTTGGAACTTAAAAGGGTTTGAAAAGAGCGAGAACAACTACATACAATACACAGAACTAGAATGAGATACAAATATTAAACAGAGGAATCAAGCAGTCCCCCGTTGCCAGTCCTCAAGGATTTAAATTATTTGGTGTGGTTTTGGAGTTTTGCCTCCACAAAAGCAGGTGGGAATTGACAGCCATTTCAAATAAAATCCTGTCAGGCTTTCATTAGTCTTTCAGAAGGTAAGTCCATGCTGCTGACTGCAATATGTCATAGTGGTATCACAGCAAGTCTTGGGGACCAGCAGCAGTCTGAACCATGCAGGCTCATTGACTCTTTCCTGAGACCTGGGCTGCCAGAGTTACTTTGCTTTTGGTGCCCCAACAAGGTCATTCAAGTCTAGCTCGTGGATCTGTGTGGTGTATTGACTGAGCAGTGCTAAATAAGCCTAAATAAGCTAAATGAGTGACCATGGGCTCAGTGCTATGTTTCTGCATTGCAACTGCTTTGTCAGCAAGGCTGGCAGACTCGCACCATGGTTAGACACACTGCGTGCTTGATGATGGACCTTCTGGGTGTGTTTTGATGAATTCAGCATCTTTTTCCTCTGCAGTCTTTCACGTGCTCACAGACTTTTTGTGCATGTTTTGAATCCGTGGAAGCCTTTGCAGATTTCAGGTAGCTACAACCTGGGGAAGGTTAGCAGGAGCGTGCAATAGCTGAGGCAAATTATTCAGGAATTTCTAAATCACAATTCTTAACATGTGAAGATTAGTGAGACAATAAACACCTAAATGATGAGACCTATCTCAGAATCTTAGAATGTCGTTTGGGATTTGGTCAGCCCTTAATGTCTTCAGCATCTTCCCATCTTCTTTTGTTGGGTTGGGGGGAGCACTTAAGAACAGCAGCTGCCTTTTTGTAACTTAGGGTGATCTTTTTTAGTTAGTGTCAAAGCCATGTGTCTGTAAGCTGATTTCTTACTTATCAAGAAATTGAGACCCAAAAGGCTTGTTTCTTGTAGATCACTCCCTTCCATCCTTTGGCAGAGGACATATGTTTCTAGAACACTGCGTGTTGTTATTTTTGCATTGGAAATTTGTCTGGACAAGATCTATGCGGTGTGTAATGCAGGTCACCTTGGCAGGTGGAACTGAGAACCAGAAAGGTGGATATGGATACTGTGGGGGCACTTAGTGAGAAAGGGGCATCGGGAAAGAAACCAGAACTTGATCAAACATAGACAGACTAGGGGAACTTGCTGCATCCCGCTTAACTCTGAGAAAGGTGCAGCTTTTTACTCTAAATGGAAATGGAGGGTGTGAGAGAAGAGAGGTGATTGTGTCTGCTGCTTGGTTACAGGGCTTGCCAGTCTTGTCCTGAAACAGCTGAAGGTAGTGTGATGTTCCTGGGAGCGCTCTGAAGCCCGGCTCATGCTCTCAAGAACTGGGTTGTGCAGATCCTGGCCCACCAACCTGTTCTACCCCTATCAAAAATGAACAAAACCCTTTGGCTGTGGTGCAGTCCAGCAGTCTGCATTCATGGTATGCTCTGGTAGGTGTTTTATTGCTGTATCACACACACTGATAATGAAACATCTCTCTATTTTAACTTGTGTGATGGAAAATCTGACAATGAAGGAGCTCAGCCCAGGCTCTCTCGCTTTATCGTACTTTCTGTGACTAGTATTTTAGCATTTCTTCTCTACCATCTGCAAGATGGTTCTCCTCCCTCCCCTTTCTTTCAAAATTTGAAATGCACATTCAAGGAGAACTCTTCACCCTCTTTTGTACCACTGTGCTTGCAACTAAATTGTTGATATGTTTTTAATTTAAAGTTCCTAGAGTAATAGCCACAGATTTGTGGATAACAGATATGTGCGTAGCCATACCTGGCTGAAGATGTCTGGTGATGCCAAGGTATGGTCCAGTCCTGAAGAACATATTTTAACTGAGCTCTGTTGCTGTAAGACACCCAGACCATTCCATCCCAAAAGTTTATATTCTTGTGTAAAACCTTATTAACACGAAAGAATCACCACTACAAACAGAAAATGTTGTATGGGTTTTCTGGCTTCCATATTTATGTATCCTAGCACTGTCTTGGTTTTGCTAATCAATTAGGTCATTTGCTAATCTGTAAGGTCATTTAAAACGTCAGGCGAGTGATGTTTGCATGCCCATATCTGTGCCTGTTGAGCTAAAACAAACGTGCAAGTCTTAATAAAGTTTGTTTTTACAGAAGATTTTTAGCCTCCTTTCTAATGGACATGATACACAGAACAATTCTTCTTGATGATTGCCTTGCCAAGCAGTTCAGTGTACTAAACAAACTCTGGTTTTGTACAGTTCATTTTCCCTTTAAAAGTGGCCAGAGAACCTCTCAACAGCCCACGTGTAAGAACATTGACTGATCCTGGCCCAGATAACAGTATGGCGTGCCTGTGCTTTTGTGAGGGTGCTGTCGATATTGCAGCTACTGTTGGTGTCTTGAACTTTCTCCTAAGAGGGTTTCATAAAATGTGTCAGATGAGTTTTCTTCTAGAGACGAGCTTGCACTGGGCTTTAGTTTTCAGATGTGTCTAAAGGTCTCCACTTTGCCAGCATGTTGTGAAAACTAGAAGTCTTTCTAATCTCTCCTGTTTTTCAAAGACAAAAGTTAGATGGAGGCTGGCTAATTTTCCCTCCTGGTTACTTTTCAGCTGGAGTGATTTCTTTGCTTTGAGCCACCTTTCATTATCCTTGACTAAGCCCAGTTACTCCCAGTTGAGTAAAGCCTGATCTTTATGGTACTCTGATCCTTATTATCTACAGTAGACTGTAGTCTCTTCTGCGCTGTTGTTTGGTAGTTCCACCTTGGCTTGGATTAGGCAGGACAGAGGAGCTTATATTGCTTTTATCCTTATGTTTTGAAGATGCTTTTTAAGATCCAAGCATGATCAAGGTTAAAGCAATCTGCAGAAGCCCATATGATGCATTAGCATTGTGGCTTTTCTGACTAAGTAAGTGGAAGTGTTACTCATGTTCCCAGGAAATCTCTCTCTTACTTTTGACAGTTTAAAGCTTTTACAGACATTTGAGTTCAGGAAATAGAGATCTGCCTATTATGCCACTGTGAAACAGTTAGCAGACTACTTAACCACTGCAACACAGAGAAGCATGAAAATCTTTCTGAATCCTCTCTGCTCCTGCTGCCCACTCCACATGCCCAGCACCCAGGTTAGGGGAGGAAATCCAGAGCATAGTCTGCTGGCAGCTTAGAAGTTCAGCCACATGTTTAACCGACGCAGACAAGAATCCAGGGTTTCAGACAGAGGTGATAGATGACTCAACGAACTAGACATTAAGACAAAAAAGCACTTAAATTGTTGTTGTCAGTGAAGCTGTTATAAAAACTGGTGAAACTTTGTGTAAAAACTTTCCTCTGCAGTGACATAGAACATGCTGCGTTGTGTTCTCTCTACAAGAAGTCAGTTTTATAAGATGCTATTGTTGTGAAAGCTTCCAGCTCCAGCTATACAGAAGAAGCTTCCAGCCTGACAGGACATCTGGTATTCCTGGAGTATTTTATAACAGTTGGGAATTTGTTGGACATTTTTCAAACAGTCAGACAGAATGAGCATAGGAGCTGTAAGTCAAAAAAACCTACTATCTTAGGATCAAGGTTTTAGCAAGGATCGCAGTGTAGTGGGGCATTTATTGGGTCGTGTCCTGTGTTCTCATAGAAGTAAGCACACGTGTATATTGTCTCTCTCCTTCTCTTTCCTGTTTTTCTTTATTGCAGTTATTTGTGATGATGTTTCAGCGAGCTTTCTTAGAAAGGTGGGAACCAGAAGCCTGGGTTTCTGGAGAAGATACTAGGATGCCTCAAGCTACTGGGTAGGGTGGTTTTAAGCCTTTCCACTTGGGCAGCAACATAACCCTTCCCCTGAAGCAGCACCCTATGCTGATTCCTATTTAGGGTATCCATGGCTGTCTATAGGGAATGACATCGTATGGCGTGCACTACCCGATTGTTTTCATCATCTGCTTTGTCTGGAGATTGGCTTCCTTAGAAGTGCACGACGTGAAACACTCAAGATATCAGATGGGAAATGCAGCCTCATTTGTTTGAGGAATGCTGTAGGATGACAAACCTGTTAACTTTTATGGATAGGCCTTGGTTTTTCTTCCCGCTGCGTGTCTGTGCTAGGAGAAGTGCTGGGAAGCTTCTG